TCGAAGCTTAAGATGGTGCCGGCTCCATTAGCCCCAGAGCGATTAGCTAATCGATTTACAGACCTAGTTTGTTGTAGGCAAGATATCGTAGCTTATTTATTCTTTGGTTTAAAATTATCTTTTGTAATTAAGCTTTTGTATAATTATACAAAATTTGTTATTTAGTAATGACCTGCATTGCAAAGATGTAATAATTTTCTTTGTACATGATATGTAAGCGAATACGTAAATTCAATTTTAATTGTTTTTTCCATCCTGATCTCATTAAATGTATATAATTATACTTTATTGCTCATCATTTAGGGCGGATTACAGGTACGCTCTCAGAAATTCGCTTGTTTATTATTACTATAGCTATTTAATACTTGATCTAATTTCTTAGAGCTGACACATGTGCCACTTCAAATTTAACCAATCTCGCGACATCATATATGGTCCGTTTACCAATCGTTTATTCAAATGTATTATTTATCATATATCGAACGATAAATTCCTAGTAATTATTTGATTTCTTTATAGAGTGATTCAGTATATCAATATATAGAAACAATAATAAACCAAAGCTACGGCATTGTTGATGTTGACGTTCCTCCAGCAACTAATGTAAGTTTATCAATATATTATACCTTTTGATTGTCCTGTGCACTAATAGGTTTTGACAAATATTTATAGGATACGCAAAAAACAGATGTTCATGATTTAAAGGACTTGTTGATTTTCTTATGGGATCATTTTGTGGAGTAAGCTTAAAAATAATCTACTATTATGTTCGTCAAGTTACAAACAGCACATTTATAAATGTTTACGTGCAGCTGCGCAAATCCTAAAAAAGTTGTTATAATTGGTGCAGGAAGAGGATGCAAAAGTTTAATGCAGTGTATAAATGATCGAGGTAAGTTATATTTTTTTGTATTGCAATTAATTAATGATTGATTAGTGACTGTTGTGTTCTACAGACTCATTGATTATGCGATACACGGCCTGCGTAATAATGGTACCGGGAAACAATGATTCTGTTCCAACAATCTCGAAAAAAGGGGATATAGTAAACTGGTATTTTGATGTAAGTTTTTTCATTTATTTAAGTGACCAAGTTCATTACGATAACTAAGATATTGTAATTTTAGAATTCACTCGTAATTCTTCCTGAAAACCATGTTTACTGGTCCAAGAAGGGAGTGAAAAAAGACTCTGGAAAATGCATACAAGTTCCAGGTTTGTTTAAATGGCAATCCTTATTTATAACTTTTATACATTCAAACATCAATTGACATTTTTAATATAGGACTTAACAACATGTCAATCCACGACAAACTTCATATTCTAAGACAAGATATAATTGACTATTTTCATCAGCGGTTAACCAGCTTTACTCCAACACGTCAATTATAATCTGTTCACTCAAAATTTCAATGTAAATATGTAATTAAATAAACTAGTGGAATGAAATCAAAGGGCATACCAAGAGTCCTTTATGGTAATGCGATGGTTTTTAGATTTTAATGTAAATATGACAGTGACGTCCTGATACTTTTTAAAACTATTCAAACTTACTGATATTAAATTTGATAATTGGTTTTGAAGACACGATAAATTAATGATATGTATAATATATTACGAATTATTTTAATTGTAACCACCTGTTATATATAACAACCTCAGAAATTAGCTTCGGACCAATTAAAAATTTTATTAAAAAAAATATAATAAAAATAATATAGAATAAAATCTAAGTTACTAAATAGTTTATTATTTGTATTATGTAAAACCTGAGATGAAAATTTAAATTTATTTATTAAAATATATAAAATCTAAAATTGATAAATATATTTGTATATATGGTGCTCCAAGTCACTTCACATCAAATGCGCCAAATTTGGGTTTATATAAATGCTTTTTAGCCAATCAGAATGCATTATATACTAATTCTAATTGGATAAAAAAAATTAAAAATTTTTTTTTAAAATTTTTTATATTAAATGTTAAAAATTTGAAAACATAGTAGCTTCAAACACTTATAGCTTTAAATTTTGAATTTTTTTAAAAAATTTTAATCAATAATTTGGATAGAACTAATAAAAAATAATGGTTTTTATTGGTTATATTTTTAAAAAATATTTAAAACCTAAGATTTTATAGATTTTTTAAAAAATATAATTTTTGATAAAAATAAATTGGAGCACTATAGTAATTTTGGTTTATTAAATAAAATTTAAATTAAACTTTTACAAAAAAAATCAATAGTTCAAGTTAGATTAAAGATAAAAATAGTTTATAACTTAATTAGTGAATCACCAGTTAACCAGAGAGTACATATAGAGTAATATGATATTATTAAGAAATTTTTAAATTGGTTGACAATCAATTGACAGATAGAAATGCCAATCAATAAGCTACAACTCTGCCAATTGCTAGTGATTCAGATTAAAATTGATTGATATTAGTTAAAATCAATTAATATTGATTAGTATTGTTTGATTAAAAATTGATTAACATCAAAACAAATTAAAATTAATTATTTTTTAATTGATTGTATATTGATTAGAAACAAATATCGATTATTATTAATTTTTCTAATTAATAACAATCATCTGTATATATCTATTTTTTTTTTTTTTTTGGTTTTAAGGTGAGGCCTTGCTCGTATCTTTATTAGTAATTCAGAGATAGTTACAACATA